GTGACTTCCTCAGTGCAAATACTTCAGCAGTGTCATCCCTGAACCTTCTCACGTATAGAAGCAGCAGGAGGATCCTCAAAATACTTCAAATTGCACTGACCTTCATATTCAAACTTTCGTTTCAGTTGCACTTTTTTTTTTTAATTGCCCACAAGATGAATGAATTCTGTTGAAGAACATTAACTGAATACCTGCTACCGCTATCTGGTATCATCATCAGCTTTGGCTGCTCACCTTGCCAGCAGGCACCGACTGTGAGCTGAACATCAATCTGTGAGGGGTGGATGGGCCAGTCGTCCGTCACCAGGTAGGGGTCATAGGTCACTCCGTCCACATAGAGCGTCACCACTGGGAACTCCACATTGATGACATAGTAATGCCACTCCTTATCGCATATCTGAGAGGAAAACCCAGAGAGATAAATGGAGCTTGGATTAAAAGGTTATTCAGGAAAGTCACGAGTATCCTGAATCATTTTTCAGTTTTAAGTAACACTTCACTGGTGCCTTGCTGTAATTACATTAAATATGAACTTATTACCACCGTTTCAGGACACCGTCTGAAATTAAAATTGAGTTTTTTAATATCTTTTTACTTGTAGACATTTTGATAACTAGCATTTTACAGGAATGGTAATCATTAATTTAAAAGTGCATTTGATCCTATGTATTATTAAAAAACAGCAATTAAAAATACATATCTCAAAGTAGAATCTAGGAGTCCACCTGCAGCAAGTTGTTACAACATGTAATCTCTATTTAAGGCTAATTGCACACAAGCAGGTTTATAGAAGAACCCGTAAAATCATGGCTTTGGACCCCTACAGCCAAAAGACTTTCCTTCTGCACTAATTTATATTTGCCAATAAGACTCACACATATAGAACAGATCAGGCATGACAAGAGATATGACAGTCAGAGACAGCATAAAAAAAGGATCTTGATGAGAAGTGCCAAACACAAGGCCGGGGGACAAGAATCGGTCCAGCACAGACTCCAATCTGGCCCTACGGATGGCACAGGAAAATGTGAAGGAGTGTATAAACTTTGGACTGGACCCATGGCTGGTTACACTACACCACAGTAATGAAGGAAGAAATAAACTATTACAGGACAGAAAGTTTCTACAATAATAGGGAATTTGGTTTTCTACAATGGTTAGTTGATGTGTAGTTAAACCTACTTAGACTGACAGATAGGTGCGTTTCTTTGGTCCCGCCCACTTAACATCAAAGTGGGTTTTATGTGGCCCATGATGATAAAAAATGAGTTTGACATCCCTGAGCTAGTTTGAAAGCGGGTTCCAAAGCAGCTTGCATGTATTCAGTATTTGTAAAGCAGCTTAAACAGTGCACCATCTAAGATGTACAAAGTGTATCAGCAAAACCATCAGCATGACGTGAGCTAGTTTCAATTACTGTTTGCTCAGGTTTTGGCCTTGGGTGTTTTTAATAGAATAAGGCTCCACGTGAAAAAGAAGCTCCTCCAAGAAGAGAGGTGAACGTTCATGAAACTCAGTTCAAGTAGAGGAGCATCAGCAGACTACTGAACGTAAAAGAAACACAAGCAGCAGCAGCTGTTAGGAGGAACGGATAAGGTGGCCTTTGGGGAAAATCATTGCATGTACAATTAGCCCCCCATGCAACTTTGAATTGAAAAATAGTAATGGTAGCGCATGGGAGCTGGCACGTGGATTATTTGTTGAAACGAGTGACAGTGACAGTGTGAAGGATACTGCACGAAGAAAGCGTCTATGGATTTTTTCCAAGAGTGAAATCATTCATCACAGAGCAAGAAAAAGCTTGATGAATATTGGCAGCACAGACTTTGTTTAGATGAAACAAAATAGTTCTGACCTTAAACCACGAGGAGAGAAGTGGGAATGCCGCTGTGAGGCCACAGGAGTGCAGCAAGTTTAGGGTAGATTTATAAATGAATGCAGGTTTGTAGCTCCAAATGATAAAAGTAAATCGGAAGAAGCTTCAAACGCACACTTTTCTTCATCAAACATTCTGTTATTCAAAACAAGCTTTTCTTCATTAAACATGAAAACAGAGACGGCTTTTATTTCATCATTTCTGATATTTGCCCAGTGCATGCTCAGGTTGTTGTACCCTGTATGCAGTCATGGTAAAAAGAAAATACGCTCTCAGTCACGACTAAGGTTTTACATATCAGGACATAATAAAAAATTAATTTAGTCTTTGCTGGGTCTCAAATGAGATGCTTTTAACAACACAAGACATTATATACCATCATTATTTATTTAGAATTTAAATATTATTTACAGTCTGACCTTGGAGTGGTTGAGTTTGACATCATCTGTGTTGATGAGCAGCAACAACTGTGCCTCTAAGATCATTGCTGACGTCTTGTGTCCTTGTGTTAGCACACACCTGAATGCTGCAGACCAGCAAACTGCCAAAACCGCTTTTATAGAGGTGCTCACACTTGCTCATGAGCACTTAATCAAGTACATTTGATTAACAGGACCTGGCTGCTACTTACGCTCTGAATGGAAGCAGTAAGAGTCTGCGCTTTAAAACCTCAGAATATAAACAGGGTGTACTTTCTTTTTACCATGATGAGAAAACATTTTAAGACACAATATTTATGCTTTGTGCATATGCTGTGTATTGTGCATATTTTTTTGATGACCTGACTCAGAAAACATCAGTTCACAACAAGAACAACAGGCTAGAGATGGTTACGTATGCAGCGTCTGATGATGTGCGTTAGTGTCAACAGAAGACAACCAAAGAAAAAAAAAAGAACAGCCTTTATGTCATCGACTTGCACAAAAAATAGACTCACAATACTGAAAACCACTTTAACTTTGTTCTTTGTCAGGGAATACAAAGCTCCCTGTTCACCAAGGAAAAAAACATCCTTTGATCTCATTCTGCTGCCAGTTGCTTCTCATCACAGGAAGTGCGTGAAATATGTTGCACACAGCAGATTGACTGACACTTGTAAATTAAGCAATGGTGAAATAACCGACTTGATTTTGGATACGTGGGATTTTAAATGACAGAGGTGATGTTGATGGTGTGTTTTGTTTGGTTTTCCTTTTTAACCAGACGTTAACTACAGTAAGAATTAGTCATTTCAAAACCCTCCCTCACCTCCCGAGACCACATTGTGTGGGCGAATAAATTAATATTGCAGTACGGTGTCTCATTTAAGAGGGATGTTTGTTTTCTATTAGAGCTTGCCTCCACTTTGTGAGTTAGTGTGGGTAAAAAACAGCCCTTTGTACATTCATTCTTGGCTTGGGAAGTGAAAACTAAATGCTTTCCTCTCCACTAAACGCTGAAATGCATTAGTACATCACCTGTTTAACCTCTTCTGAAAAATGCTTGACTGCGGCGCTCTTCGGCATGTTTGACCATTTACCCCGTCCTGCTGTGCAATTTAATTGAGTGCACCGGCCCTCTCCCGCCTATCTGTCTCTCTGTTGCTCCCCTTTTGTCGGCTTTAGGCTTTGCCTCTCAAAACTCACCGGGCCGTGCTTCACCTCTTCCTCTCTCGGCCCCTCTGATACAACCTGCGACAGCCTTTGAACACTCTGCCTGCGGTAACCTCCCTCTCTAGGAAAGAGCACTCTGCAGCCTGCTTATTAGCACCATCCCAGCGCAGCAGATGGGAGTTCTAATCAATCCATTCCATTTTCCCTGTTATTTAGGTGCGAGATGCAACATCTGGCCGACCAGTGATCATCCTGCACAGCTGCTTAACACATATGCGGCACGTCGATCTGCTGAGTCGGTGCTCAGAATTGCAGGGGGATAATGTGTTTGTGGTTTTGATGGTGCTGCATATACGATTGAAACTAACTGCATCGACGTTGATTAGCTAGTTAGGATTTGAGGAGATAAAGAAGCGTGTGCAAACACCCTGTGGCTCTAATGTCAGCGGTCCACTATGCATCGTGGGGTTTTCTCGATTTCATACGTTTGCAAGACTCATACTGAATTCATCCCCCGGAGGTTTGTGCATTATCAGTTGGAATTTAAAGTGGTTTTTTTTTTCAATCTGGTTAAATCTCAGCTACCAGATGTAAAGTCGCTTATGTACACTGGCACACACATGCTCTAATCCCGCTGACATTTACACATGCACACTACTGCTTCGTTTCACTTTTTGCTGTGGAGTATTTCAAAGACAGCTCTGAGCACCTAGTGGGTGATTTACTCTTACAGCCTTCAAAAGGAAAAATGGCGCGGCGTTTTTTGCCCAAGAGGACGCTGACTGAGTCGGCTTGTGATGTCAGGCGGGGAGCCCTCCTAAGGGTATAAGGAAGGAGTGAACAAAGTGACGACATTAGGCGAGCAGAGAAAAACAAAGCAAAAAACTTTTTTGATAAAATATTTTAGTAGCTGCTGATGGTTTAGATTTTTTCTAAACATTCAAAGTCACTAAATATTTGTATTTTCCCCAAATTAAAAGGTTTTAGAAGACACCAGAAAGAAAATTCAACTGAACAACTGCAGGCAGAGATTCTGCGAATTCAATAAATCATGTATGGATGTAATTCAGATGTAAGAACACCTCTGTAAACAAGACTAAAACATCAACAGCAACCTTCCATTTTATTAATCTTTAATATCAGACCCCATTAGATTAAGCAGTGTGAAAGGGAAAAGGATTCAGGAAATCTAGGGTTGATATGCAAAGGAGACAAGGTTATGAGTTTCACAGTTCTGTGAGATTTCCATCTGGCCAGGTAAAAAAAAAAATCCATATAATAAAGGTATAGATGTGGACCTGATCCTAACCCTGGATTGGTGGATGTAAAAGCTTCCAATACCTCCAATATACACTTTATTATCAATCCCTGCACACCTGCTTAGACAATTTATATTCAACCAGCTGGGCGGCACAGGTGTCCTACATACAGTTATATAGATGCAGGCCAGGAGCTTCAACTAATGTTCACATCAAACAGCAGAGTGGGGATGAAAATGAAAATTTCATCATGATATGGTTGTTAATGCTGGCAAATGAGCTATAATACCTGACTCCTGTTAGCCAAAAACAACAGCTACAGTGGGCACAAGGTCCTAAAAAGGACTTTTTGCAAAACAACATGGTCTAATTAAATGACAAACTGATTTCTGCTGAGGCTGCCCATGGTAGACTCAGAATAGGCTCAGAATGCATGACTTCATGGCTCTGACCTTTCTTGTTTTACTTGCAGGCTGCTGCTGGTGTAATGGGGTGTGGAATGCTTCCTTGGCACACGCTGCCATTGTTAATACCAGACAAATGTTGATTGAATGCCTCAGTTTATCTGAGTACTGCTGCTGATCATGTGCATCTCTAAATGGTCATAACCTAACATCTTCCCAAAGGTACGTGCAGCATGACAATGCTTTGTCACAAAGACAAAGTCATC